AAACTAAGTTGGCTCTACATCGAAACAGGTCGCATTTGTCCTTCAGTGGTGTAGTAGAACAAAAACAAATCTCTTAAAGGTTCTTGTTGATTTTGGTCTGGAAGCCCCACCCCTCCCTCTCATGCATGGACACTTTCCTCTCAGGTGCTCAGGACAGGGGTGTACCTGTATCTCCCTTTCCCCCTTTTATCTGCACAGCACCCCTGTAGGGTAATTCTGAGAGACTGGCACACTGAGAGATTGGCACAAGGTCAAGGCTGAATGGGGACTTGAAGCTGCATCTTTCCATTTCCAGTCTGGTACTCTGACCACTACACCACTGGCCTCTCTTCACCCATGTATCATTATTTGTCCAATCATGGATACAGAAATGCATGGGGGAAAGAATTGTTATTTCAGTGAAGGATCCCTATGTGTTTTGCATGCACCTTCATCAGGGAATCTAGAACAACATGTATGAAACCAACCCAGCCCGTCTGTACAAGGCCAGACTTGCACGACCAGTTTCTGCACCTCACCTGTCCCTCCCTTGCCACCCCGGTGGTTCCAGCTTGACCTTCCTCCCAGCACAGCTGCAGGCAGTCACTGTCATATCTACAGTGGGGGACACCACCTCATCTTTGCGGGAGGGTGTGATGTGTCAAGCCCTGTTTTCAAGCCACCTGTGCATAAGTATTGCCACATCCACAGGCAATGAGCCCTACCATTTAATTACTCGTTGAGAGTCAAAACGTACTTCCTTCTGTTATGAATCTGCTACCCATCAACTTCATTGGGTGCCTCCAAGTTTTAGTATTATGGGAGAGAGTGGGAGCCAGGCTTCCGTACACTTTCAGAAATGAGAATGCTACCCACGCCCTTTTTGACAGCATTCTGAGAGTGCAGCTGGGAATCTAAAACATCTAAAAATTAAGCTGGTTCTGTATCCATTTTCTTTGAATTGGCTTTATGTGCAGAACCAGAGACAGAACCAGAGACAAAGTCTGCTTTCAAAAGAGAGAGCGCCCTGTTTATTTTGGTACATAGATGGATTCAAGTGAAAGCTGTGTAGGGACTTGGTTGGATTTTTTTCCCCCAGTAGCGACATCAAACCCTTCTATACCCAAGATATGTTTATGTCTGCTTTGTAATGAAATCCGAATTAATGCATTCTGCATTGTGATTCCTTCATTTACTGAGCTGCACAAAGAAGCCACTGCAGTTGCTAACTTTTATATATTAGGGCTTGTTGGGACTATGGATAGCTATATATGAAATCTAGACACAGAAAGTGTGTTCTGCAGCTGAGGAGCCCTTCAGGCAGGTTCAGGTGCTTCAGTTTGATGTAACCAAGGGAAAATCTGGATGAGACCATGGTGAAAGGGCAGGTTCCTGTGATTTAACACACACCATGAATTTTACACTACCTGTCAATTGCAAGGTTAGATATTGCACATCGTATTCTGTTCAGAAGGGTGTACAGGTCTCTGAGGCCAGAGTATACACAGTTTGTGGTAATTTAGAGGGCCAAATCCTAGACTTGGGTTCCTGATTTAAGCCTTGGAATTCCTGATACTTCAGTTGCCTTAGGAGTCATTATCTTGGGCCTACCAGGTTGGATCAAACCAGCTTTTCCCTTTGTGGAAAAGGGAGGAGGGGGACCCTTTGACCACCCAAAAGGCTGCTGATCATAGGACACGATTTCACAGGGCCTGCAAAACAGAGCTCTTCCGTCAGGCCTTTGGTTGAGGTAGTGGGCGTCTACCAGCTGGCCTCCCTGTTGCTATGGCAGTAGGTTACTATTAATGAGACTTTTATGGCTCAGCTTCGACCCATTTGTTGCTGGCTGTAGGAACTGAAATTGAAATTTCCTGCACTGTCCACTTTAACGGGTTTTATTGTATTAATTTAATATTTGATATTTACTTATTGGATCATTTTATAGACTGTAACGGAATTTATGGTTTTCATCCGCCCTGTGCCCGCTTGCGGGGAGGGTGGAATATAAATTGAAATAATAAATAAATAAATAAATAAATAAATAAGCAAGCCATGTGGCAGGGGATTGTAGTAAGGAAGGACATTGAGAAAGATTGAGGGGGAAAGCTGGCAGGGTCCAACACATTGTGTGTAATATCCTTTCCCTTGGGATTTGAATGGGGAGTTCAGCCCTGCCTTCCACTGTTTGGCCAGATAAAATGAGCTGAATTTCCTTCTATCACTGTACTTCCACTGTAGAGTGCTTTCCCAAAGGAGATTAGCCTGGTGATATCCCCAGTACAGCCAGCAAGTAAAAAAACTTGCCAGTTTTTAAGAGCCTTTGCTGACTGCTGATTGGAAATGCTGTTGACGGCTGGCCGTTAAGATGCTTACCTGGAAAGCGCTCTTGCATTGCTACTCTTGCCATTGATTTTAATTGATTTTTTCTTCCTAGTTTCTGTTGGGTTGTATTTTACAGTGGTAGTATGTGTGTTGCGTTTTTAAAGCCTGCACGTTGCCTCAGGGGCCTCTGAGCTGAGAATGAGACAGAAATATTATCAATAAATAAAGGATTCCCCAGTGAAAGGGGACATAGGGTGGACCTGATTAAAATGTTGAGTGTGCAAATACATCGGGATGAAGAATATGTTTCAACAAGTTTTCTAGTGCGGCTTCAAACCAAATGAAATATTTAACTTTGGAATCACTGTTAGTTATCGATTTTGTACTTAAAAAATGGTGTATTGATTAAGGTTTCATCAGCTATAGGTGTTAATAAATCTGACGTGCTTTGGCCTAGATGTGATTAGGAGGGGTTGAAGAAGCCAATGGCTTTCCTTTACATACCTTCACTAAGAATATATCAAGAGGAGAAAAAATAGTTTTGTATTTAACTATGATAAATCGTTGGCTGCACCATTTAGTGGTGCATTTGATTAGTTTTCTCATTTGCTGTTTCTAGCCTTTAATCAGCTCCATTCCTCCCGTTTCTCAAGTCATTTACTTTTGCCCAATCTTTCAGTCCATGCTTAATCCATGTTTCAATTTGATCTATGTTGATAAATAACATCTTATGTGAAACAAAGGAGCCATGTTTGTTCTAGATTGGAGGCACCAGCAGCATTTAATGATACCTTCATTACAAACATTTCTTCTTACTAATTTTTTAAAAAATGTAGGCAGTGGTCCAGTCTTTTCCCATTGGTGTGGATCTGTGGGTTTCCCAGGGGCAGTACATGGAGCCCTCTTCCTCCTTTCTCACCAAACCTAAGTGCGTCTTCTTCTGCTGTCCCAGATACACTGCATACACCTATTTTTGAAAATGGGAGTCTCTGCAAGTTTCACCGACACACTAAAGGCCCCCAGTACTCATAAAATCACAGAGTTGGAAGGGGCCATACAGGCCATCTAGTCCAACTCTCTGCTCAATGCAAGAAGAAGAAGAGGAGGAAGAGGAGGAGGATGGATTTATACCCCACCCTTCACTACCTGAAGGAGTCTCAGAGCGGCTTACAAACTCCTTTTTCTTCCCCTCCACACAACAGACACCCTGTGAGGTAGGTGGGGCTCAGAGAGCTCTGACAGAAACTGCTATTTCAAGGACAGCTCTGACAGAACTGTGGCTTGCCCAAGGTCATCCAGCAGCTGCAATTGGAGGAGTGGGGAACCAAACCTGATTCTCCCAGATTAGAGTCCGCACACTTAACCACTACACCAAACTGTCTCTCTGCAGTTTCAGCCTAGAGCATCCCTGACAAGTGTTTGTCCAGCCGCTGCTTAAAGACTGCCAGTGAGGGGGAGCTCACCACCTCCCCAGGCAGCTAATCCCGCTGTTGAACAACTCTGACTGTCAAAAATTTCTTCCTAATATCCAGCCGGTACCTTCCCACCCTTAAATTAACCCATTATTGCGAGTCCTATCCTCTGCTGCCAACAGGAACAGTTCTCTGTTCTCCTCTAAGTGACAGCTCTTCAAATACTTAAAGAGAGCAATCATGTCCCCCCCCTTAACTATCCTCTTCTCCAGACTGAACAAATTTCTTGTGTTTTTGCCCACTTCCTTCTTACCCAAACAAATAGCCAATCTTGACTTTTCTGTGTCTGACTAGAATAGGAGATGTTTCAGAACAGCACAGGAGGCATCACTTTGGGGTCTGTAGAAACATCCATTTGAAAAATAGCTGCCTGCCTCCATCACAGTGAGAAGTTTGAGTTGGAACCTCCCAATATTTTGTGGTTGCCTGTGTTCCCCTTGGCAGCCCGTTTTGTGGTGGTGTCCACTACCTGGTCTCAAAATGTCAAAAGTGCTCACAGGCTCAATAAAGTTGGGGGCCCCTGCATTTGGGAGTATTAGAGGTGATGAGAATGGTAGATGAGATGTGAAGGCTATTATTGAAAATGGCTAGATGAATTAGAGTGTGCCTGGCAGAGGGTCAGCAGCACACTCAAATGTGAGGTAAAAGGGACCCCATAGAACGGTTATAGCCAGGGGTCATTTCCTGCAGGAGTGCACAGGAGCAGAGCTCCGGCAGTAAAGAGCCCAGGGGGCGGGCACATATGCAACAAGCCCCACCCCCTGCTCCCAGCAGCCCTCAGTCAGAGAATTAGCAGCCAGGTAAGTTGCAGAGCCCCCCCCCCCGGTCCAAAACAGTCCAGTGGCACCTTTAAGACCAAGTTTTATTGAGGCACAAGCTCTTCCTCCTCTGCAAGGCCAGATCTGCACGTTTCCCCTCCCTCAATAGCTAGCCATCCAAAACAGTCCAGTGGAGCCTGAGTGGTGGGTGTTGCCTTCTGACACACTTCCGGTGATGTCAGGGGGTGTGGCCTATGCAAATGAGTTATGCTAATGAGCTCCTGCACCTCTTTTTCTACAAATGACCCCTAGGTCATTTGTAGGCAACTTGTACTCATTGGTGTATACAGAAGAGATGATTGATTGTGTCGTTCATTTTTATCGATTCACAAAGCTTCACATTCATAGACAATATAGGAAACACTGAATGATACACTGAAAATGATTGTGGTTATTGTGTTTTGTTTAGTGACAACCACAGTAATTGAAACAGATGTCTATGTTAACAGCATTGGCCCAGTTGATCCAATTAATATGGTAAGTTCGGATTGTAATACAACCTCAAGGTAAGATTTATTTGAATTTCTGTATGCTGACTTTGGCAATATCAAGAGATAGCACAAACTTGCACTTAAATAGTTTTTCTTGAATGTAGCTGAATCATCAAGTATTCTATTAAAAAGTACTCTGTTATCAAGGAAGACCTAACAAAAATAAAGGAGTAAAAGATGAACTAAAATTTTGAAAGAAACCTACATTAGTCAAACAAGTGTTATCCCCTTTACAATCTGGAGAGAACCACTTGGCAGATCAAAACTAAACCCTACACAAACTGAATGTGATCCAGAAAGTACATTTTTAAAGCCAATTAAGTAAAATTAGGATGCTTAAATAACTTTATGCTGTTACGCTGTTTAAGATATACAGTGGGGGGGCAAAGTTTTACTAAAGGAATGGTTTTTGCCCTACGATTCAGGATCACCAGACAGGGTCCCATCTCTGTTCCGCCCAGCTCTTGGTCAGCTGTACACCCGTGTTCTCCCGTATCTATTCAGTAATTCTGCTAAAGCGACAACGACGTGGCTGAGGATCCATGGCTTACAAGGAGAGCACGTGCTTTGTACAAAATTCCAGGTTCGGTCCCCAGCACCTCCACTTGAAAAGATTCTCAGGCAGCAGAGCTCAAAAGGAGTCCTGCTGAGAATTTTGAGAGCTGCTGTCTTTCACAATTAGGGTTGCCTGCCCCTAGGTCTGGGTGGGGGTTCCCCTGCTTCTGGGGGCTTCAATCCACCCCCAGCCAGCTGGCTGGTGGGGAAAGCCCCACCCCCAAGAGTGACCACCGGACCCAGCCACCCCCTCCCTCCCCTCCTGTCTGATTTAAAGGACTTCAGGTGATTGGCAGGGACCATGTGGCCCGCCGACCAGCTGGAGGGCCCTTTAAATCTAGCAGGCAGGGAGGGAGAGGGGTAGTCACAGGCCACATCATCGGCTCGCAAAACGACCCTTTAAAGATCCCCGCCCACCCCCGGAATGCCGCCAGATCCCCCTGCCGGAATGATGAAGGGACCTGGCAACCCTATTCACAGTAGAATACACGAGGCTAGATGGACCAATTGGTACCACTTAGTAGTAGGGTTTACCAACCCCAGGAGAACTTCCAGGACTATAACTGATCTCCAGACTACAGGGGTCATTGCCCCTGGAGGAAATGGCAATGTGGGAGGGGCAGACTCTGTGGTTTACTATTGAGTCTAGGAGAAACAAATCCTAGAGATACATCATGTCGCCGGTGAGCTTCCTCCCCAACGTCCACCCTCCCCAGCCCCCCTCAAATCTCAAGGAATTTTCCAAGCCAAAGTTGGTGTCCATCCTTGGTAGGTTCATGTAATCCTAAACAGGGCTTTTTTGTGGTGGTACTCACCAGCATGGAGTACCAGCACCTTTTTGAGGGGCTCTCCCTAGTCCTGAGGGTGGGGGGAAGTAGAAGAGATCAGTGTAAACTTATACACAAGCACCAGAATGATTTTTAACAATAAAAGCACTGATCCTAACTCAGTTTTACATATGCCTTATGTTTGTGTAAGGAGGCATCTTCTTATGATCGTAGACAGCAGCCCTGTAAGTACTGGAAATTAGAACTCGAGGCGAACTTTGCATTTGTCCTAAAGATTGGCTTGGTCCATACTGAGAAGGTGTTCTGTATTTTTTTTTATGCCTGTTCAAATAATCAGCAAATCCCTGCATGACCTCTTAGCTTCTTTGGTTGAATCCCTTTGGAACTGGGGCGGGGTGGGTGTGGGTGAGGGCAACAGGCAGGCAGACTTTCTATAGGGGTCCTTCTCCTTAGCACATCACTCAGCAGTTCATTGGTGCAGGAAAACCTCCCGGCAGACTATATTTCTAATTTCTCAGTGCTCCTGATCATGCGATGAACAGGGAACACTATGGATGAGGAAGAAAGCCCTTGATCCCCTCTGATATAGAGTTAGCTGCTTTCCCTTCCGCATAAGTCCCCCATTAGTGGGCAGCATCCACATGAGTCTCCTCCGAAAGGTCCATTTGCATTGCAAGGTTAGCAATTTAAAAATCAATAAAATCAATCCATGTCTGAAAAGTACTCTCACCGACAGGATTGGTTTCCACAAGGAGTTCTGCATCTCCGTCTCTCCCCTTTCCCCCACTTATCTATATACAGGGAGCGTTTTGTGAATATTCATTGAGTATGTTTTCATATCCTGGGATGCATAATTATTTATCAAGGTGGTTGTGTTGAATGTTCAGGGACTCGTGTCAAGCATCACAGTTCACAGCTTATGTTTTTGAAACATTCAAAGCAGATGATAATTTCCCAGGTAAGAGTCTTGTTTGTTTAAATATTTTGGTAATTTTGCATAACACTTTTTGCCATAAGTGGAATAGTTAGTGCTAAGAGATTAATCGCTTCACAAATTACCAGAAAGCATGACTTAATAAGATCCATTGTGGGATTTTTGCCCAGTCGTGCTATTACATTTCAGCTTTTGTCACCCCCGTAGCTTTAAGTCTGCTTTGCACACTTTCTTTTACACTTCCTCTCCCTGCCCTAGATACCTTCCAAAGTTTTGCTTTTGACCCTACTGAATATATTTCCACACTCTGCTACACCAGTGGGTTTTTTTTTGCTGGTGTTATATTGTCGGTGACTGTGTGTTTTCCTTCTTTTTGGTGCTACACTCTCCTTCTTTGTTGCTCATCACATACAAGAACTTCCCCTTTCTTGAAAAGGAACATGTCAGAGCAGAAACTCTCAATTGCTGGGCAAGGCGGCGAGGTCCAGGATGAGAATTGTCCCCTCAAAACGTTTTAAGGGGAATTTGGAGGCTTGGGCAGAAACAGCCGCAAGATGACAGTTGTCTGATATCTTGCCAAACTTTGTGTGGATACCCCTTATATCTTCTATTTCAGTTTCTGGACAGCAGCCTGTGCAGAGGAGGTAGTGTCCTCTGGCTTTTTCTTTTGCACCCCAGGTGCCTGGATCACAACAGGGGTTCTTTGTCATTGAATTCTACAGCTTTGTCTTGGATGCTTTTGATGTTACAAGCAAGAATAGCAGCAGGCGAGGTGGGGGGGAAAATGAAATACCTGAAATTCTTTAGACATTATGTTAGATTTTTATTTTGCGCACTGGGCATCAAGTATTGCTAGGGGTATCTGAAGAAACTACTATTTTAGAGGCATTCTGTTTACTTATACCCTGCTTTGCTCCCCAGTGAGGGCCCAAAGCAGGTAACAACGTTCTCCCCTCCTGCATTTTATCCTCATAACAACCCTGTGAGGTAAATTAGATGGAGAGAGTGACTGTCCCAAGGTCACCCAGCGAGCTTCCATGGCAGACTCAGAATTCAAACCTGGATCTCCCAGAGTCTGACACTCTGACTACTTACACCACACTAGCATTAGTGTTGCCAGCCTCCTGAGATCAGTTCGCCTGGAGAAAATGGCAACTTTGGAAAATGGACTCTATGATCCCTTTCACGTTGCCATTCTAAACTGGATGTTATCCATTGTTGGCCTGGTTCCAAGTAAAGCAATACAGGAATGGAAGTTTCGTACAGCAAATTTCATTCCATTAATGAGCCATCTCTGAAGTGATGTGGCCATTTCAAACAGTACCATGCTTTTTTGCCATATGAACTTCCTCGAATTTCTTTCTGAACGTTCTCTGAGTGCTATAGCACTAGACCATTATAACACTTCTCAATGTATCTCAACGGTGCCAAAGTATCTTAATGGTGCTGCTGTAGCTCTGAAGTGCTATATTGGTCTAGCGCTGTAGCACTCAACTTAGAACATTTTTTTAAAAGTTCGAGGAAGATTGCACTGTGAAAAAGAGTGGGGAATAGCAGGGTGCTATTGGAAACACTACAGACATTTTAAGCAGCACACTAAGGTAATTCTGAAGCACAAAGAAGAGGTGAAAACAGAAGGAATTTACCTCAAGAATGTCTCGACCACAGATTGCTAATTGGGCATGTGGCTTTGTATGAACAGGTAAATAAAAGCAGCTGGTTGCTATAAAACAGTTGTGTCTGAAATGACACATAAAATCAGTTATCAACCAGCTACCAAAATGGATTACAAAGATTGTCCGAAAGGGGCCTATGGCATTATACCCCATTAAAGTCCCTCTGCTGCCCAAACTCTGCCTTCCTCAGATTCCACCTCCAAAATCTCAAGGTATTTCCCAACCCGGAGCAGGCAACCCTACATTGCTGCTGTAGAATGTGTTCATTTCTTCTTCATCCACCTGACTTTCCCCTATATTCTCCTTTTACACATAACCAAATTGGGGTTATTGATATGTTGGGGATATGTAGGAAGTCTTCCTCTGACAAATTTGTATCTATATTTTGGGATTCTGCATTACTGGAATTACAGAACTCATAATGTCAGTAGTATCTGAGGTTCTTCTGTATTTTTTTATTTTAACTTTTATAAAACTTATATGTCAACATTATAGGAAAATAATAATAAAAACAATGTTGTAAAACCAGCACATTTCCAAGTGACAAAAGTAAAGAACATACAGATATGCTCTCCACATGAAGGTATACTTATCTGCTCCATGCAGACTAAATTACATCAATATTTGTAAAATCTTGGATTTTTTAAATAAAGATGATAATTTTGATCGTAAATAAAAAATCTTGGATTTTCTCCAAAAAAGCTTTACATATCAGAATTCTCCTCCCCCCAAAGTTTGGCAAACACTAATTCAGTGGTTGATATAACATTCAAAGAAAACATTCTAAACTTCTTTGGAACAGGATCTACATAATTCAGCGGAAAAAATTCAAGCATGTCTATAATACTGTGCTCTATACCCTTTGTTAATATAATTGAAACCATTTTCCAATATTTTATAGCTCTGAGACATCCCCACCACATATGGTTTCTTCTGTATTGAATGCATACAACAAAAAATGGTACAAATCTCAGAGGATTAACACATTTGGCTCAAGCAGAAATGTGATTTGTCTTCCAAAATTTCCCTTTCT